TAAAACGTGTGTGAACCTACAGAACGGTGAAAGCTGTTCCTACAAAACGTTGAAAACTGTTCTTTCAGAACAGTATCTCAATTGACTGAGTTGTGGTGATGATTTATCTGGTAAAATCGTCAAATTGTTGCGAAGTGAGACAGATAGTAACTATAAATCCCACTAAAGCGTTATTCGACATTTTAATGACATCTCAATTATAAACGTTTACCAGGATACTTCCTTGCCTCACTGTGGTGCTGTATTCTGTATAAGTATTGGAAGTGGAAGCTCACCGATCAGTGACGAGTAATTATATTATCACAGTAAACGGTTAATGATGATGAACGTGATTACAATAATACCCATGCTATTGCTGCACCTTTTTTCGGGGTGTCACGCAACTTATATAACCAATTTTGAGATAAAGTTGGGTATTTTTGGGTTTTCATTGGAAAAAACGTTAGCATTGATATTATTTACACCTACATTCATTTGAGATCAAGTTATATATTATCCTCCATCATTCCCATTATCAAATATCATATGTTTCATTTGTATCATGTATTTTTGTGTTCTTAAATAATTGAACATAAAGTTACAAAAACAAGAGAAAAAACCAAAAAAAGCCCAACCCCAAAATGGGGATTTGAGGTAAAATGGGTTATTTGGGGTTGGACACCCCCAAATTAGTTAATGTCAAAATGCTTGTTAGATTTTGTATTTAATTTGCATTTATTGTGGTAATTTTTACCATGATAATTTAATTCCTTTGTATTTGCGTTTAATTATGCTAACGAATTTTATACCGTTATGAATTATTTAAATATTTGTGATTAGCGCCTTATAAATAATTTAGGCGCATCGTAACCTCCTATTCGTTACACGCGATGTTCCACATGATTTCGTTTGTTGTAATTGGTTACATTTGGCAGATGTGTAACGTGATGACTGATGAAGTATATCTAAGCTACATAATAATATGGAGTTCAAAACCTCCAGGTTCACTTAGCGACAATGTTAAAATAACCATGAAGAAGAACAACTGCACGGTATGTACAGTCATCGGGCCGGTTGGTGGCCGTGTAGTTTGCTACTAAAGGTTCGGGCTTATACTCGCAGAACAATCAAACTGAGTGAGCTGAACTACCATTCATTCAACGATCCGATAGTCTAAGTCCATATTAGATTCCTTATGTTCATTTCCGATCACATGATACCTGTCATCATGTTAACTGATTACTATATCCAATGTCTGTAAATGTTGTTGCTTTTGTTTGATTGCGCACCAATAAGGCTTCAAGCTGGAAACCTCATATATTACGCATTGCGTACAACTGTGGTTAAAACTTAAAAGTCCTTACATAATGACGTGTAAACAGTCACAAAATCTGCACCTTCTAGATTATTCCCGTATTATATCAGCTCTTGTGTAAAATATAATAAAACGAAAATACGAAACTTAAAATGTATAATTGTGTATTAGACAATCATCACGTGATGGTTACAACATAAGGAGGGTTTGAAAGCACTGGCCTCACGAGACTGCACCATCGGTGAAAAGGTATAAAAATACTTCTATCATCTCTGCTAATTGCTCATTGGTAGACACTCCTATACTTTAAAGAATACGTTCTATTATAATTGTAAAACAAAAGGAATAACAACGTTATATTTATGATGTAATTACTTTAAATTAATTACACAACATAAACTACTTACCTTGCATTTAAATTTACAACCGCTCGCTCTCCAATAAGTTACTTTGTCAAGCTTTTTTATACTGTTTTCAGGTTCATTTATATCCGCATAATATGACGATGGTATTAACCCACATCTTTAATCTTAAACGGTTTCACCAGACGGTTACTTGCGTCACTTTTATGATGGTATTTAGTAATATCAGTAATATTTTGAATTCTCTCTCCCTCTCTCGGTTACGGTCAACGGACTCTATCCTCCTACGGTAAGCGGGAAGCCTTCTGCCCACAGAATACAACTCCTGCTAGCTACGCGCCAGGACTCCCAAAGTATATACATAATCATAAACAAGTTGTGCAATTCTTCTAAAAATTTCAAAACTATTCGCGAATCGAGGTTTGAAAAAACAATTCGGCATTTTCATAATGAAATTTTTGATAAATTGGTCAATTCAACAAATGAATCTCGGTATATGTATGATAAATGTTTAAAAACAAAAAATAAAATAAAAGTTACAATGGGTAAAAATAAATTATATTGATCGTCACATTGTAAAAAAAACAAACATTATTTTTAATTTTTCCGAAATTAGGACGATTACCGATCATGTTCTCAGTGACCAAATTAGCAAACAATAAATTTTTGTCTTTAAGTAGCAAAATTGTAAAATTGTTCGAGCACTTTTTTTGGCTGGGTAGAATTGCTTATTAAATGCTTTTGTCAAAATGACAAAATACATAAATATCGGTGTCTGTCTCTTGACACCACTTTAGAGTTAAATATTTCCCTGCTAATTCTTGGAACCGTTTTGTTAATGCGTCACGATCCTTCCACTAACTCATCTTAACAAAGAACATAACGAACAATATTATCTCAAATATTCCCTCAGCTTGATTTCCGAGAATTCTTTAATTTCAATATTCTCTCTCTTGCTCTCTTTAACTGCGAGAATGACAGGTACCGACATACTAATTACTACCACTATAAGAGCATAGTTACTAATTACTATAAGAGCATAGTTACTACCACTATAAGAGCATAGTTACTACCACTATAAGAGCATAGTTACTAATTACTATAAGAGCATAGTTACTACCACTATAAGAGCATAGTTACTACCACTATAAGAGCATAGTTACTAATTACTATAAGAGCATAGTTACTAATTACTATAAGAGCATAGTTACTAATTACTATAAGAGCATAGTTACTACCACTATAAGAGCATAGTTACTACCACTATAAGAGCATAGTTACTAATTACTATAAGAGCATAGTTACTAATTACTATAAGAGCATAGTTACTACCACTATAAGAGCATAGTTACTAATTACTATAAGAGCATAGTTACTACCACTATAAGAGCATAGTTACTACCACTATAAGAGCATAGTTACTAATTACTATAAGAGCATAGTTACTACCACTATAAGAGCATAGTTACTAATTACTATAAGAGCATAGTTACTACCACTATAAGAGCATAGTTACTAATTACTATAAGAGCATAGTTACTACCACTATAAGAGCATAGTTACTACCACTATAAGAGCATAGTTACTACCACTATAAGAGCATAGTTACTAATTACTATAAGAGCATAGTTACTACCACTATAAGAGCATAGTTACTACCACTATAAGAGCATAGTTACTAATTACTATAAGAGCATAGTTACTACCACTATAAGAGCATAGTTACTACCACTATAAGAGCATAGTTACTACCACTATAAGAGCACAGTTACTCACGGGATTGTCCATTTAGCGCGTAGTAGTACTGTAACTTGTAGGTGGGCACGTAGTCTCTATCCCAGCTAAACTTCATTTTAAACTTCATATCTAAATCACATCCGAACCAGCCCTTAGCTCTGATTTACCCACTCTGGGTGTGCCAAGTTCCAAGATCTAAGTTTCAAGTCGTTCCAAGTTTCAAGTCCGAGTGGCTCCACAAAAAACCAGGCACAGACAGCAACCCTGTAAATCGTGCAACAAAACAGGACAGACTCTCACTACATGCAATGTAGTAAAAGAGAGAGAGAGAGAGAGTAGAACGGTTAACGGTCGGAGTGGTAGCCGGAAACCAAGAGTCTTATAAGTGTTGCTATAGCAACAAGCAGTGTAATTGTGGTTTATACAGTACATTGATTGGTAAATTACTCGCATAATCATCCGGCTATCCAGTGAGTTGTAATAGGAGGTTAGTTTGTCACGTGGTTTAGTTAAGTACTTTGTCACGTGGTTAACTACGTCATAAGTGCAGACTGACGGAACTTTGTGCCTGTTACAGCTACTGTAGTGATCCGTGTTACATCAGCACATGTAATGTGGTAACTGGTAAGTAGTTGGTACGATTTAAGTTTACTGTTTTCAGTTCGCCACTTTCAGTTCACCACCCTATCCCAGGTGATAAAATGGTAAAAGTTAGTAAAAAGATTACAGACTATCTTGGGGGGTCGTGGTCTGGGCTCTGACGTAATACCCAGTCACAGTGTACAGTAACTGTAAGACCTCTATAATTGAATAATTGAGTAATCATAAGCGCCTCATCCCCACTAAGCGCCTCATCCCCACTAAGCGCCTCATCCCCACTAATAAATCTGGTATTAACAAGACCTCTACGTGTTTTGCTGTGAAGATAAAACTAACGTGGCGTCAATGTCAGATGATTGCATAGGTTGTAAAAACACAAGCGACCACAATATATAATATAGATAATATAAACATGGTAAACTAGCAGTGATTATGGTTTCGAAAAATCTTACATAATCGTAGACTATACTACTATAGTAGTCGAGAGCAACGTATTAATATGTATAAGGATCAGGTATTGAAAGTCGATAGCATTATAAATTTATAAATTAGTTAATTAATAATTATCCAATTAACTTATTATCTGACGTAAAAATTGTTAGAACAAAAGTTTTTCTTCTTGATAATATGAACACACTCGATTGATCCGCAATCTTTTACGATGTTCACAACTAAAGATATTCGACAAACAAGAAAGGTGGTAAAAAGTGGTAAAGTGGCAAAAAGTGGCCTTAAGACAAGTGGAAAAGTTTGGAAAAGTTGGTCAGCCATAAAGGGCACCTAATGGGACTCAAAAACGTCAAAAATCCTCCGAAAGCTTGGATGGTCAGCAGATCGATTTTTTCAGACGGATTTGTCTGTACTAAATAGTCTGTACTAAATTTGTCTGTACTAAATAGTTGAATTATAATTTTGTAAATACTAGACGTAGTAGTCATACTGTCAATAGTCGCAAAGTACTACATTAACATAGTAGTATTAATAATGGCTATACAGTGGGCACTTACCTTGATTCATACCCTCGAACATGGCAACTTTTCTGAGTATCTTGGGAGACGGATACAGTGGTTTTCTGTGGTGAGGACCCAGCTGTTCTATAGGTATAAACACGTTAGGATGAGGAGACATCATCCTCATAGGAGGGCTGGGGCTCTTGGCTAGGGGTGGGGAGGTGTCGTTAAATAGCTTCGCTATCGGAGTTCTCCGTTCTGAAAGGAGAGAGAGTTAGTAAGTAAGGTTGCTGAGATTGCACATTTATATATTATCAAATTTAAATGCAATTAAAAAAATGGAAACATGGATAATTAATGGATTAAGAAGTTTGAATATGATTGCATTAGCAATTATTCGGTAATTTGTGAAAGTTAAAAAAGTGCTAGTGATGCAAGAGTGCCACTTTTAGCATGATATTGAGAACCAACCTGTTAAATCAGGGATCAAGACTTCAACGTCCACTGGGTTCACCTCATCGTAGCTTATATCAACCTGAAAATTATTTGTCATGAATTACGTAGTTTCACTTCAGTCCGAATACCGTTCATAATATGCATGATAAGGAACAAAACGCTCATAATATGTCGTTGGTAGACAGCTTGGCTACTTATGATAAGTCTGACAGGATATCTAACAATATTTTAAGTAAGTTTTTCCCATGCATTTGTTTAAATAATTATGTGAGACATGTTTCTGAAACATGTTTATTGTTTCATATTTTGAATCATTGTCAGATTTATTAAAGACTGGATTAGCAATTAATACACTGTTCGCGTATTACAACATCTTTGTTTTATGTTTAGAGTCGTGTGAAAACTATCATTTCATGATCGCCAGCATCGTGATAAGCTGTTTTACAGGAGCGAGACGTCATATTCGCAAACATCTTCGCCGGTCCTTTGACTTTAGGCATCTTACTGTCCCTTAAAGTATAAACGTTATAAAACTACTGATACGGTCCTTATTATTATTTCTTGATCTTATTGCTGAGTGCTTCCCCGTTGGAGCCGCATCTTAGCTCAACAACGTTACCTTTAAACACCTTTCACACAGATGGGGTTAGCTAACACGTCTGATCTTATACTGCATGCGTCTTGGTAAGTATCGTAGTTCAATAACAAAGCTGTCCACTAGACCGTTAGGGAGCGGCTCATAAATACGCATGCGGACTCTCCCCCAAATTTCATGTATTCTTTCAGGTCTTTGTTGCTACACTATAAAAGCTAAACGAGTGTGCTCTTGACCTATATGGTCCAGCCATTAATCGCACCAACGCCTTCATTTAGCCTTTATTCTTTACCTCGATACGTACGCTCAGCTTTCATGTGTCCACTGTTCAAGATACTGATTGGACAACATGACTAAACTCATGAACCCTTGTTCCAATAGAGCACCACTATGATTTAAACGGTTCCTAAACGTTATTATAACTAGCAGGAACCCGTCTTACTCTAAAGTGGTGTCAAGACTCAAGAGACTAAAATAACCATTACCTAGATTTAATTCGCGTTTTTGACACCACTTAAGGGTCAAAATTTTGGCCACTAAAATTCTTATTCCTTGGCCAATTTTTTATTTTTTCATGCTGATTTGAAAAGCATAAAAGCATTTGACCTAGTCAAAAAAGTTTCAGTTGTATATCTTTTACGGTTTTAGCGGAAAGTCGTGTTAAAGTTGATGCCGTGGTGTCAGTAAAATGGCACGGATAAACATATATCGTCTCGCTTTATATATAGTAAGATGGTTGCAAGTTTACAACGAAGAGCCAATCGATAAACTACCATTTATTGCGGTCCCTTATGGTACTAGTCACAGTTTCCGCGTTATTAATGATATTATGACTATGTTAACCAGTGAACCTTATCACGCATTATTAATGATATTATTTAGCCAGTAAACCTTATCACGCGTTATTAATGATAATACTATTTAACCAGTACACCTTATCACGCGTTATTAATGATAATATTATTTAACCAGTAAACCTTATCACGCATTATTAATGATATTATTTAACCAGTACACCTTATCACGCGTTATTAATGATAATACTATTTAGCCAGTAAACCTTATCACGTGTTATTAATGATATTATTTAACCAGTGAACCTTATCACGCATTATTAATGATATTATTTAACCAGTGAACCTTATCACGCATTATTAATGATATTATTTAACCAGTACACCTTATCACGCGTTATTAATGATAATACTATTTAGCCAGTAAACCTTATCACGCATTATTAATGATATTATTTAACCAGTACACCTTATCACGCGTTATTAATGATAATACTATTTAGCCAGTAAACCTTATCACGCATTATTAATGATATTATTATTTAGCCAGTAAACCTTATCACGCATTATTAATGATATTATTATTTAGCCAGTAAACCTTATCACGCATTATTAATGATATTATTTAACCAGTACACCTTATCACGCATTATTAATGATATTATTTAACCAGTACACCTTATCACGCGTTATTAATGATAATACTATTTAGCCAGTACACCTTATCACGCATTATTAATGATATTATTATTTAGCCAGTAAACCTTATCACGCATTATTAATGATATTATTATTTAGCCAGTAAACCTTATCACGCATTATTAATGATATTATTATTTAGCCAGTAAACCTTATCACGCATTATTAATGATATTATTTAACCAGTAAACCTTATCACGCATTATTAATGATATTATTTAACCAGTACACCTTATCACGCATTATTAATGATATTATTTAACCAGTACACCTTATCACGCGTTATTAATGATAATACTATTTAGCCAGTACACCTTATCACGCATTATTAATGATATTATTATTTAGCCAGTAAACCTTATCACGCATTATTAATGATATTATTATTTAGCCAGTAAACCTTATCACGCATTATTAATGATATTATTTAACCAGTACACCTTATCACGCGTTATTAATGATAATACTATTTAGCCAGTAAACCTTATCACGCATTATTAATGATATTATTATTTAGCCAGTAAACCTTATCACGCATTATTAATGATATTATTATTTAGCCAGTAAACCTTATCACGCGTTATTAATGATAATACTATTTAACCAGTACACCTTATCACGCGTTATTAATGATAATATTATTTAACCAGTATACCTTATCACTCGCCAGATCTGCAGTTGAGCTCGACCAGATAATATCAATATAATCTAAAACCAATTTTTAAGTCAGTTACAATTAGCGAGCTCCTATGGTTTACTGTTAAATTCATAAACAGGATAATATTAAACATTAGCTGCGAGTGACTGTCTGTTTATTTACGCTATCTGTGCACTAAAAACTCGGAATTTTAACAGACGAACATTCGGACAAAAATTACATATTACCACAAACATAGAATTGAACTCTACCGGTTTGATTTTTTCTTAGCCATCATCTCCTTAGCGATTAAAGTCCTTGTTTATAATCATTTTTTCATATATAATTCCATAAAAAAAATTAATTCTATTTCAAGGTAATCGTCGACTTAAAGGAAAATGGCGTTTTGTTTTAACTCTTAATTTTGGGATTTGTTTGGATAACTGATCAAGAAACATCTAGAATACTAAAGATGTCAATTGTCAAGCTATCTTGATTCTTTGGACAATTAAAAACATGCCGTTCCCAAACAGTAAACACCTTGTTGTTTAAATCACAAAAATTACATTTATTTGGCTAGCTTTACATTCAGTGTCTTTTGATCTCAGATGGTTGATCGCTGATTTACTTTGTCATCAAAAGCCAGTAAGTAACTACAATCGTATACCATGCCTTCGGCTTGACTTCCTGATCGTAGATTTGAATAAATGAAATTAAAATAAATCATTGATAAATGAAATTTACCTGATCAGGTATGACTTGAACTGGAACCCATTTGTTAGTTGCTTTCGTTCGGTTCTTGTATTTCGATCGCAAGGAGCTCATTTTATCTTTTGGCTTGCTGAACTTCTTTTGTAGTTCACTGAAAATTCAGATAATCAATATAGTTATATTTCCAATTTGGTTGGTTCTCATAGTACAGTTTTGATATTTAATCGAGAAAGATTTGGTCGCACCAACTTATCACAATGCTGGCAAGCATTACCGTCGCCCTTATATTCACAACACTATTTACCCCCTAGATACGATTATATCCCCTTTATTGTTTTCCAGGCATTAAGACTCATCGAAAGTAGTTCAGCAGGTACATTTAAGTTCAAAACATTCTAATTCAATGTTGAAGATGACAGGAATAAGAAATAGTTATATGGAGGTTTTTAAGAAATTTGCGCAAAGACGCGCCAGCATGTTATACGAAATTAGGTAAAAAACCCAAAATCGCCATATTCAGGTGCCTTAAAAACCATGTTAAAATTGAGTTAGAGATCTGAAACTTTGCAGAGCGTCTAGACCTTGTCCATATCGCCTGTAAAAAAAATTTCATGTTTCAGGAGTATCGGGAAGTGGGTTTTCTGGAACCCCTGTTTTACAACAGATTGTCGTGAAGCTATATATGTATATATATGTATATATGTATTTGACCAAAACCCATAATCATGGGTAGAGTGAACCGCTGCCAGTGTCTCTCTTTTCCAAACAAAAGGAAATGATATTAATTTGAGGAACCGTCCGCAAATGCAAATTGATACCGAGAATGAAATCGGTCGCTCGCTTTTCCCATTTAATAAGCTTTATTACAATTCGTAAGCCGTGAATGAATGGGAAAAGCGAGCGACCGATTTCATTCTCGGTATCAATTTGCATTTGCGGACGGTTCCTCAAATTAATATCATTTCCTTTTGTTTGGAAAAGAGAGACACTGGCAGCGGTTCACTCTACCCATGATTATGGGTTTTGGTCAAATATCATCTCTTTTTGATTATAATGTCAGGATAATTTACACAGTCGAAACTTCATTTTAATAAGGAGATAATTTCAACGATTTCGAAATTCTGACTTTGAAAACGTTTCCTTGTGTTTAGGTAGGTATATCTGTCGATTACCGACTGAATATGGCACTTTTTACTCATTCAAGTTGGCATTAAATTCATATATAATGCCATTTAAATATCGTGGAAAGCAGAATATATTCGAAATCACGAATGAGCAAAATTCTCACCTTTCGCACGTGCAAACTTTGAGCGGACGTTGCGTGCGCATACAATATTGAATCACCGTAAATTTTTGCATAGTGGTATTTAATATATAGTTTGATAAGCATGCAAAGTTTCAGAAGATTTCAAAAAGAACTTGGATCACAACGGGACTCCAAAGTTGATAAAAATCGTGAAAATCAAAATTTTTAGTGATTTTAGCAATTTTCTATCAATTTGGGCGTGTCCCCACGTGTGCAACTTTTCGATTTTTAACTTTAAAATTAGCCTATAACACAATTTAAACCTTTAAGAAGCAAAATTGAGCTCCACAACCCAAGGGATGGCCCAACACCAGAGAATACTAATTTACAACTTTTGTGTTTTTATAAAATTATTCTTCAAAAAAGCACTAACTTCAATAGCAAATATCTTTATGAAGGAGCAAGGTAGGAAACTTTTCCGGTAGATTTTCGGAATGCTTGAACAATTATCTAAGATGAAAATGTCCTCAGATTTTGAATAAAATTACTCCTTAATGGTGTAAAATCGATTTGAAAAGTTGTTACTTTGTCAAAAATCAAGTTTTAAAAACACTTAATTTGATGACGTCATCAAGTGATGATGATGACGTTAAATTATTTTTTAATACAATGTAAACTAAAGCTTAAACGATTATCTTTAAAACCTGTGGTTCGAGATGACTGTATCGTTTATACTTTTGAATCTACGGACACTTAAATGTAGGCTACAATTGACTGCAAAAAGCGTCTATACTATACTTCACGACAATCTGTTGTAAAACAGGGGTTCCAGAAAACCCACTTGCCGATACTGCTGAAACATGAAATTTTGTTTACAGTCGATTTGGACAAGGTCTAGACGCCCTGCAAAGTTTCAGATCTCTAACTCAATTTTAACATGGTTTTTAAGGCACCTGAATATGGCGATTTTGGGTTTTTTACCTAATTTCGTATAACATGCTGGCGCGTATTTTGCGCAAATTTCTTAAAAACCTCCACATAACTATTTCTTATTCCTGTCATCTTTAACATTGAACTAGAATGTTTTGAACTTAAATATACCTGCTGAACTACTTTCGATGAGTCTTAATGCCTGGAAAACAATAAATGGGATATAATAGTATAGGGGGTAAATAGTATTGTGAATATAAGGGCGACGGTAATGCTTGCCAGCATTGTGATAGACGCTTTTTGCAGTCAATTGTAGCCTACATTTAAGTGTCCGTAGATTCAAAAGTATAAACGATACAGTCATCTCGAACCACAGGTTTTAAAGATAATTGTTTAAGCTTTAGTTTACATTGTATTGAAAAATAATTTAACGTCATCATCATCACTTGATGACGTCATCAAGTTAAGTGTTTTTAAAACTTGACTTTTGACAAAGTAACAACTTTTTAAATCGATTTTACACTATTAAGGAGTAATTTTATTCAAAATCTGAGGACATTTTCATCTTAGATAATTGTTCAAGCATTCCGAAAATCTACCGGAATAGTTTCCTACCTTGCTCCTTCATAAAGATATTTGCTATTGAAGTTAGTGCTTTTTTGAAGAATAATTTTATAAAAACACAAAAGTTGTGAATTAGTATTCTCTGGTGTTGGGCCATCCCTTGGGTTGTGGAGCTCAATTTTGCTTCTTAAAGGTGTAAATTGTGTTATAGGCTAGTTTTAAAGTTAAAAATCGAAAAGTTGCACACGTGGGGACACGCCCAAATTCATTTAAAATAGCTAAAATCGCTAAAAATTTTGATTTTCACGATTTTTATCAACTTTGGAGTCCCGTTGTGATCCAAGTTCTTTTTTAAATCTTCTGAAACTTTGCATGCTTATCAAACTATATATTAAATACCACTATGCAAAAATTTACGGTGATTCAATATTGTATGCGCACGCGACGTCCGCTCAAAGTTTGCACGTGCGAAAGGTGAGAAATTTGCTCATTCGTGATTTCGAACATATTCTGCTTTCCACAATATTTAAAATTAAATGGCATTATATATGAATTTAATGCCAACTTGAATGAGTAAAAAGTGCCATATTCAGTCGGTTATCGACAGAAATACCTAACTAAACACAAGGAAACGTTTTCAAAGGCAGAATTTCGAAATCGTCGAAATTACCTCCTTGTTAATGAAGTTTTGACTAGCTGTGTAAATTATCCTGACATTATAATCAAAAAGAGATGATATTTGACCAAAACCCATAATCATGGGTAGAGTGTACCGCTGCCAGTGTCTCTCTTTTCCAAACAAAAGGAAATGATATTAATTTGAGGAACAGTCCGCTAATGCAAATTGATACCGAGAATGAAATCGGTCGCTCGCTTTTTCCATTCGATCACGGCCTACGAATTGTAATAAAGCTTATTGATTTGAAAAAGCGAGCGACCGATTTCATTCTCGGTATCAATTTGCATTAGCGGACTGTTCCTCAAATTAATATCATTTCCTTTTGTTTGGAAAAGAGAGACACTGGCAGCGGTACACTCTACCCATGATTATGGGTTTTGGTCAAATATAATATATTATCACACTTTCGAGCCAAATTTAGCAGGAAAGCAGAATTGATATTACATGCCCCGATGGGGAGCACTGGCTCTCACCCGGGGGCATGAAATATCAATCAGTTACTCAGAGAGAGCCCGATATTCCCATCTAGGAACAAGGAGCCCACTCTCAACAACTGTTCTACTACTGCGAGGTACTGATTTAAATAAAGATTTAAATCAACAACCTTAAGTAGTCTATGACCGTTAATGCAATGATCAGATAAACTTTCCAGTATTAGGAAAAATTTATATTTGTACCTGGTTTTGAAAATATTTCCTTGTGTTTGAGATGCGTCAAGCAAAATAAAATTTTTTGTTGTAAAACTTTTTCAAGCTGTTCCCTTTTTATTGCACTTTATAGTTCAAAGCCTAATTAGGCTTCGGATGATGAAACAAAGTAAAAACTCCCTGGCTTGTACGAGCTTTAAGTGACTTAAGGTTATTGAAAACGAGATCAAAGTTTACAAGCAGACTTGAAAGTTTCACAAAGTTTTGGTACTTGTCAGCGATACAATCAATCAGGATAATTAATTTCCTTAATCGCTTACTTGAAATTAAAAAGGAAGTGTCAGAACAAACTACAGTCACCCTCACAAAAAATAGTAAACACTAGACGATGTTTGATTAATTCGAACGAAGAAAACACACAAAACAAAGCCAGATTTCAGCCATTTCAGACCTCAATTTTAACCCCCTCTGATCCCTTCTTTGAGCCATATTCCATATAGAAATTGTGCAGAAATTATACTTGGCTTTTCCAAACCGGTTTCGCCTAGATTAGCTTGCGAAATTCGTGGCTGATCTATAAACAGACTGATAAAGAGACTTATATGTAGATTCTGTACAATAAAGAGCGAAAATTCTATCCCAGGACTAGTTTCAACTGAATTTTAGTTAGTGCAAATAAGTGCAATAAAAACATCCTATAAAATATAATATTTATATAAATATATCAAGGGACGAATGACGTAACTTAATCAGCTAATCTGGTTATAAATTAGTCTGGGCACTGGGGCAAACAGGTCCGATGATTAATGTGCTGCCATTCATTAGACCAATTCAATATTGGTAACAGTACGGGTGAACTACCTGGCCATGACCAGGGTGGTTATAGGCTGGTGGAGTACTGCGTTCTAAAATGTTGAAGAGATACATTTGAATATTACAAATGTTCTGATAATTTCCAGTTCAAATAATTTCTAGCTCGAAGCAGATAATGGCAAATAATGGCAAGTAAAGATGAATACTGACTAAGAACTAAGCAGCATACTTGATAAAATTCTAAGTCAACGATTACAAGTTGCATTGATTAAATCATTCTGAAATAACAGACAATCAAGAATCAAGACGGACGATAATATTGTTGATGTAAATTAGGGAGTGTAGTGTATAATGTGGACTGATAAATAGACACTAATTATGACACCACAGCTCTATTCAAATACAAGAACTAGGAAATTCTTTCACCTCATCGTAGATACAGATTATACGATAAGAACTGTGATGTATAATCAACACTTAAACGGATGTTCTATACATTATACTGCATCTACAGTTTTAATGACTCTAAAAATATCTAATAGAAATAAAGTATTAGAATCACCTCACATCAATTGATTTGCAGGATGTAATTACGTATCAAACGCGCTCGCGGCGGAATATTCTAGACTCATAAGTACAAGACCCATAGGCGGAAAAAACATTAATATTCGATGCACTACGTACCAGAAAAAAGCAAATTGGGCGCGGCATACAGCATTCACTGTGTCATAAATGTGATACGGGAGATTCTAATTTCACGTATTGTAACTTTAATATCTGAAATACTAACTTATCGAGAGCTATATATAGCTTGGACATTATAAACATAAATAAGTTCGACATGTCTAGTTTTGCTTTGGTGAGATTTATAACTAACGTTTGATCAAATTCTGCTTTCCAGGCCAAATTTGGCTCCAAATAATGGCAAATAATGGCAAGTAAAGATGTATAGTGACTAAGAACTAAGCAGAATACTTGATAAAATTCTAAGTCAACGATTACAAGTTGCATTGATTAAATCATTCTGAAATAACAGACAATCAAGAATCAAGACGGACGATAATATTGTTGGTGTAAATTAGGGTGTGCAGTGTATAATGTGGACTGATAAATAGACAATCATGGCGCCAACCCTATTCAAATTTAACAACCAGGAAATTCTTTCACCTTATCGCAGATACAGATTATACGATAAGGACTGTGATGTATAATCAACACTTAAACGGATGTTCTATACATTATACTGCATCTACAGTTTTAATGACTCTAAAAATATCTAATAGAAATAAAGTATTAGAATCACCTCACATCAATTGATTTGCAGGATGTAATTACGTATCAAACGCGCTCGCGGCGGAATATTCTAGACTCATAAGTACAAGACCCATAGGCGGAAAAAACATTAATATTCGATGCACTACGTACCAGAAAAAAGCAAATTGGGCGCGGCATACAGCATTCACTGTGTCATAAATGTGAAACGCGAGATTCTAATTTCACGTATTGTAACTTTAATATCTGAAATACTAACTTATCGAGAGCTATATATAGCTTGGACATTATAAACATAAATAAGTTCGACATGTCTAGTTTTGCTTTGGTGAGATTTATAACTAACGTTTGATCAAATTCTGCTTTCCCGGCCAAATTTGGCTCCAAATAAAGTGTGATAAAACATTAATCACATGCCTTCTCATGCGATATCAACATTTTCAAAACTCGGCAAGCCTCGTGATTGAAAATGTCGATATAACCCTCGGCAAGCCTCGGGAAATATCGAAACTTTCGCTAACTCGGCAAGCCTCGTGGGCGAAAGTTTTGATATCGCATGAGAAGGCATGTGATAAATGTATAATATCTTATATATCCCCTCCCCATTCTAAACAGACAACATGTGACAGTATTTGCCTTCCTCCTATACCGCTCTGAACGATGCCATATTTGCCCATAATATCAATAAATTTCGTTTCCGAATCATAAACGTGTCCACTCTTAAAATTTAGCAACGTGGGCGATTAACTTAACCTGACATGCCTTTCGTTGGCTAATAACTTAATGAAGTTGTCACTGCAGTTGTCAGGTGACACGTACTATACGCTGCTGCTCATATCAAAATGTCAGACTCACCCGAAGATCTGCTTGTCAATCTTGACCACATCGGAGGGTTTAACCGTTCTGTTCCCAGGCCTCCCTCCTACTCCATGCTGTGCTGACAACCTCTCTGATATAGTCTGAGCCAGACTTGATATCGGGGATAACTGCTCATCTTCACTCTCGTCTCTCTCTTCCACGTGCAGCTCTCTGGTTGAGCCACCTATATTGTTTTGTAAGAAGAACAGTTGAGCTTCAAGGATCGGATCATTGTTGAAAGAAGATGGCGTGAGTTGAGTACCATGGAGACCAGCGTACGCGCTTTGTCGTCCAGGACGGTCCCCAGACGAAGCAGAGCGTTTCAGAGACCCTCTCTGTCCGGCTAGTGAGCCTCTCTGTCCGGCTAGTGGGTGTTGGACAATCTCTGATAACAGCCCTGTTGATAATACCATTCCGTCAGAATCATAATCGCAGCTTTTAGAGTTGATAAGGTGGGAGGTCTTGCTGGTTCCTTGAGGGGTGTAGTCTGAGAATGACGTGAGGGATCTAGCTGGTCTAATATCGTCCTCGTCCTCGTCCTCACATACCACCCTCTGAAAAGTAATATCACATTACTATTTATATTAGCATGGAGCTGACACACGTACATCGCAAGAGGTTAATCGCAGTTTATTATTATAGGTTTAACAGCTCAGTTGGGCTTCTGAAGCAGCACCGTGCACTAGCTAATCAGTCTCCGTTTATCTAATCACGATTTAATTATCTTAATTATCTTAATTATAAGATAAAAATAAGCTTTATTAAATCGACTGCTCCAATCAAAAGAAGAGTTTTATTTTCTATTAAACATGCCGGGCGCACTTAGTTATTAATCTTTTAATTTCTTATATATTTTTATGATTCATACAATATCATACAAATATTTTTCGTTTAGAAGGCATTGTTCATACGCCATACTTTCGACTTTGGTCTATGACTTGCGTAATCCATTATCCAAGTCTATATTTATTCTCTATCTCTTCGAAAGTTTTGGTGACGAATGGACACTATACAAATTCCTCAACAGAACGTTTACTCGTCAGAACAAAAGAAGAAATGTATATTTAAATGTATTTATTGTATATATAATTAATCTACTGAAATAATAACACATATCATATACGTTATGCGTGTATTGACTTCTTTAACAGTTGTGCCCTCTCAACACTTCTATTCTATTTGTTTTCTTCTCGTGCGAGTTACATTCCAAGTAGGTATTATGATATTCTGATTTCAGGTATGAGACTTAGACTGATCACCGTACAAATTCAGAATGCCTTTTTTTATTTTCGTCTATCGTTTAAAATGCCGATTTTTTGTAAGATCAGGTTTTATCAATTACCTCCTGACGAGTATAATCTTTAAATACAAATTTTATCCACAACAGAAGACTTGAAATTAATTAAAACATATAATTTAAGTGGAAAATGATTGTACGATTTTGAAATGAAAGTCAATGAAACCACTGTTTTATATAATACTAGAGGTCGGTGCACTTAATATATGTCCAAGGTATTTTGAGATAAGAAGAGGCGTGGTATCTACCACAAGCAATAGCCTAACTAAAGTTTTACTGCCCGGAGAGACCTACTATTGGTGTAGAGCCTAACTAAAGTTTTGCTGCCCGGAGAGACCTACTATTGGTGTAGAGCCTAACTAAAGTTTTGCTGCCCGGAGAGACCTACTATTGGTGTAGAGCCTAACTAAAGTTTTGCTGCCCGGAGAGACCTACTATTGGTGTAGAGCCTAACTAAAGTTTTGTTGCCCGGAGAAACGAGAGACCTTCTATTGGTGTAGAGCCTAACTAAAGTTTTGCTGCCCGGAGAGACCTACTATTGGTGTAGAGCCTAACTAAAGTTTTGCTGCCCGGAGAGACCTACTATTGGTGTAGCCTAACTAAAGTTTTGCTGCCCGGAGAGACCTACTATTGGTGTAGAGCCCAACTAAAGTTTTGCTGCCCGGAGAGACCTACTATTGGAGTAGCCTAACTAAAGTTTTGCTGCCCGGAGAGACCTACTATTGGTGTAGAGCCTAACTAAAGTTTTGTTGCCCGGAGAGACCTACTATTGGTGTAGAGCCTAACTAAAGTTTTGCTGCCCGGAGAGACCTACTATTGGTGTAGAGCCTAACTAAAGTTTTGCTGCCCGAAGAGACCTACTATTGGTGTAGACTCGATAGCCTAACTAAAGTTTTACTGCCCGGAGAGACCTACTTTTGGTGTAGAGCCTAACTAAAGTTTTACTGCCCGGAGAGACCTACTATAGTGTATAATAATACACTAATAGTAACAAATTAGGTCATGTTATCCAGATCCGAGGCATCTGTTGACAGATGGGTTTGTTGATAGTTCTATATGTTTTTATCCTGTATTGAGTCTGCTTGTTAGGTATTAGTAAGGTATAATTAGGTATTAGTAAGGTATAATTATATCACGCACCGGTGGACCTTTGGTTATCGGAGGTCGTGTTTTAGTGTCATGAAGCTGCTTATTATGTCCTGCATTGGTATGCATAGTACATTTTTTCTTTCCTATTTTTCTAGAGAGAAAAGTTCTGACTTACCTTAGGACTTCGGCGGTCGTGATTTTTGTCATGCTGTTTATTATGTTTATGTTCATCAAAGATTAACCATGATAAGACGGTATGCCGTGGCAGCCTTTTCTCTCTTAAGTTCTCTTGAAGTATGGGTTGAGAACTCCATCTTGCCTTGTTTACTATCTATAGACACTATGGCTGTCTTCACGAGACATACCTCAGTCCTGATCCAGTAAGGAGGACGTAATAGGAAATCTCACCTTTCATTGGGTTCCACGCCCATGAAACCCCCAGGTTAACATAACTGAGCTTGTCAATCTAGAAGGCTACAAATCGAGCCTTAGAAAACATACGGTCTATCATCACTTTATTAAAAAAGATATTGTGTCTTGGTGTGATAATATTTTGGTATTTTGTTCCTGACGTACTGCTTTTTACGAGCTTTATGGGGTATCTTATTATCTTATAACCTGTACAAATACCCAATTACTTTTACAATATATACCATTATTTTGATTTCTGCTTGTTTATGAATTACTTTACCGGTAGTTGAGAGCAGGCTCGCAACAGTTAAGTTTCCGACAGATACAGCCATATAAATATTTAAACGAAGTCTTACTTCAGCTCGTACCGGGAAATACCGAAATATAACATTTTAAAAACTGTCAAAACAATCGACTTCATGAAACTTGAGCTTAACGGTGATAAAAAGCATGTGAAATGTGAAATTACCGGTATGGGTGGCAGTATAGGTTTGTTCAATGCTTCGTACAGAGTGTCGTACTCTTCGTCACTGTCACCATCTGCATCTGAGGGGGTACTTGTCAGTTTCCACGAGAAAACAATCAACACAATGGTATTGTAACAATATGTACTACTAAAAGGTAACAAGAGAAACGTGTCAGCTGGATACGGTAAAAATAAGGCTGTTCACACAAAGTTTCTAAAGTGTGTAGGGAATCAGTAAGGATTCTTGAAGGGTTCAATATTGACTAGGTCTTCACTCTTCAGGCTGCGCTACACTTTTTAACTCGCCGAGGCATGAAATGTGTTGCATTGCTGATTGCATCTACATTGCATCTACATTGCATCTACATTGCATCTACATTGCATCTACATTGGATTGCATCTACATTGCATCTACATTGGATTGCATCTACATTGCATCTACATTGGATTGCATCTACATTGCATCTACATTGGATTGCATCTACATTGCATCTACATTGGATTGCATCTACATTGCATCTACATTGCATCTACATTGCATCTACATTGCATCTACATTGCATCTACATTGCATCTACATTTCATCTACATTGGTTCAATAATTTGTTTCCTTGACGCGTATAAATAATATTTTGTTGCGAATCTGAACTGTAAAACACTGAAGATTGTCGATTAAAAAAGCAAAATTTTCTTGGTTTCTATTTTTAGTTTGTATGAACTATTGTCTTGAACTTAGATACTAAAGTGTTTGTTTTTTTTTTCATATCATTGTTTTATCGCATGAACAACTACAAGGATATAAACATTTAGCTTGTTATTTATCAAGTTTAGATATTTCACAGTCGTGAAACTGCACTGATCAGCTCAGCTTGATCAATTGTCTATTGTTAATTGAGCCTTTGATATAATTGGGCATATTATGGTAACAAGCTCTCGCAGCCCTTTGACCTCGATATATATATAATAACACAAGCGACTATTGACTAATTTTTAACGAATAGTTGAACACATTTTTCAGACTTAATCCTGTTTGATGATACTGTTGCGTATTTATATAGGAGCATATACAGACATTATCAATTATCATGAATATGGTACATCACCCAATAATGAAAATATGCTTCAGTCGGTGCAATGTGAATACTTCGGGTCAAATTATTTGTAATGGAGCTATTTCGAGAGCTAAGGTAATGTTATTCCGATATATAAGTTGTTTAAACCACCAGTCTACGGTTTTTAAATCCGAGTTGTTAGGTGGGAGTTATATAGCATGATTATAAAGCAGGCCCATACATACATATTATACACAGTTCATACATACGCAGTTTATTTGTCCGCCTTTATTTGTCCGCCTTTATTTGTCCGCCTTTATTTGTCCGCCTTTATTTGTCCACCTATATTTGTCCGCCTTTATTTGTCCGCATTTATTTGTCCGCCTTTATTTGTCCACCTATATTTGTCCGCATTTATTTGTCCGCCTTTATTTGTCCGCATTTATTTGTCCGCCCTTTATTTGTCAGCCTATATTTGTCCGCCTTTATTTGTCCGCATTTATTTGTCCGCCTTTATTTTTCCGCCTTTATTTGTCCGCCTATATTTGTCCGCCTTTATTTGTCCGCCTTTATTTGTCCGCCTTTATTTGTCCACCTTTATTTGTCCGCCTATATTTAGCCACCTATATTTGTCCGCCTATATTTAGCCGCCTATATTTGTCCGCCTAAATTTAGCCGTCTTTATTTAACCGCCTTTATTTGTTCGCCTTTATTTGTCCGCCTATATTTGTCCGCCTTTATTTGTCCGCCTTTATTTGTCCACCTTTATTTGTCCACCTTTATTTGTCCGCCTATATTTAGCCACCTATATTTGTCCGCCTATATTTAGCCGCCTATATTTGTCCGCCTAAATTTAGCCGTCTTTATTTAACCGCCTTTATTTGTTCGCCTATATTTGTCCGCATATATTTGTCCACCTTTATTTGTCCGCCTCTATTTGTCCTCCTTCAGCTATCTAATTGCCATCAGTTATCAAGCTGGTTTATCTCACGCTTGACCTTTCACCACTATAGCGAATATCTCCCACGAGAACAAACAGTTTCCCAATCCGAGGGGTTGGGCAACTTCGTCGATGCCCATGTCCATTCGACCAAATGGCCATAATAAAGCATTCGACACAGCCAAAAAAGTTTCAAAAGTATATTCGCTTTTGTTGGCTGGTAACTGTTGACCGTAAGTCTTGTATTTAGATATGGGTACACGTATAAATCTACATCTGTACTAGTACCTTGGTCGAACTATGATTGGAAAAGTTTGCTTAAAATGAGTTTAAAGTAAAGCTAAACACTAAACAGTGCTATTTTTACTCACAAAGATTTAACTAATAGACCATTAGACAATATTAGTCACGATTATCATGATCATTTGATTCATATCATTACATAACCTACGATAACATGTAACCATACAATTACACGATTACAAATGTAGATGCAGAGGACCGTTAATTAAAACTGTCAACTAACCGTTAACTGTGCCTGAAACTGTCCGATTCCGGCCGGTTTAATCAGTAGAAAAGATAAGGTAATGAGTCATTACTACTTACTAGTGGCTTGTTCATTTGTTATCGACAGTAAACAGCAGCGGCTCAGGGTCCGTCATTCGCCAGTACTTAATAATAACCAGAGAAGTACCGGTGTGAACTTGTCTACGTAGTATCTTAGGAGCCATCGAAACTAAAGTCATGACTATTTATTATGTGAGTAATGAGTATATGCAAAGAACAGTGTTGAAGGTTGATGCAGTTCACTAGTTTGTAAGTTTTTATAAGTACTATAATTATTTCTGTTGTTACTAAATATTTACCTGCGTAATTATGCATGCTATGTTTAATATATCCTTTCTTGTAAACTGCATACTACGTACTTAATGAACGCATGAATATTGTTTATATGATACTTATCAAGGCTCGGCAAGTTCACACTTATTTAAGAAACTTAGTGGTATCGTTTACAGTAAAACATGTTTGACGACGTCGGGAAATGCTATGTTGTACAAAATCATATCGCCGTTCACAATTCAACAGGTCGGGTACTAATAAACTTATCATAATGAAGTTAAGGAATAAGGTAAGGCTGGCGCAGAGCTTGGCACACGGTGCAGCTATAATAATTTACACATATAGCAGTTAAAACAAGTAGAAAAACAATTAAAAAGGACTAACCAAAGCTAGTAGTTCTGAGTAGATGTCGTGTGACAGTAGGGGTGGTAGGTTGAGGAGTTGGAGTATCTCTGAAGGGATAGGGAGGTTCAGGAGTCTCGTATCCCGGGACATCAGGGTCATCATCAACATCCAGTAGTTCATCAATACCCGCTAACACTTCATCAATCTCAGAGATTTCATCATCAGCAGCTTCAGAAGCAGCTGTTGTGTCGTACGGTGGAGGTGCTATGAAGGAGAAGTCAGGCGTATTTTCCATGTACTTCTCCATGTTGTCGGTGATAAAGTTGATTATTGCCGATTCAGAGCTTGAATCTCGTGGAGACACCTCCTGATCACCATTTTGGGACACGTTTCTCATCTGAAGTTGGGGCACTTCGTCTGGCTCTGCTCTAAGGAGAAGCTCTTCTGGGGCATCAACCTCATCGAAGAAGTTATCCAAATCATCCAACAAATTGTCGTCACCAGGTTCATTTGCAGCCATCAGCAGCTCAGCTTCGGAGATCAAAGAATCTATCTCCTCAGTGATGTCTCTTTCAAACTCATCGTCATCGTATAAGAAATCTTCGTCTAGAGGTTCAGGAAGATCGATACCAAGATCTTCAATAACTTCTATATCTCCTCCAATCGCATCTATCATATCGATTGCTCTTTCAATGCTGGGTAGATTCTCAATATCTTGCACCTTTCTGATAGATCTGCCATCTTCGCTAAAAGAGTCTTCAACGACAACCAAAGAATCCTGTCTTTCGGATTCATCAGACTCATGGATGCTATCGGGGATAGACTCAAGGCCCGGCATGTCGTCCTCAGAGTCACGGAAATTCATGTCTACGATATGGACAAACTGGTCTTCATCTTCTTTTTTACTTTTCTCAAGGACTTCAGGTTCTTCAAGAATATCTTCAAGAATCTCCTCTGCTTTTGGTTTTACTATGGCTTCCTCAATTTGAGCTTCTACAATTTGAACTACTTCAATTTGAACTTCTTCAATTTGAACTTCTTCAATTTGAGCTTCTATAATTTGAGCTTCTTCAGTTTGAGCTTCTTCAATTTGAGGTTCCTGGATTTGAGTTTCTTCAATCTGAGCTTCTTCAGTTTGAACTTCTTCAATTTGAGCTTCCTCGATTTTAGTTTCTTCGATTTGAGCATCTTCAATTTGGTTCTCTACGACTTGAGCTTCTTCGACTTGAGGTTCTTCAATTTGAGGTTTCTGGATTTGAGCTTCATCGATTTGAGATTCCATAACTTTAGCTCCTAAAATGTTAGCTTCCAGTTGCACAATTCTAGTTTTCACAATTCGAGTTTTCTCAATTTGGCTTATTTCCCTTTGAGCTGCGTAAAATTGAGCGTCCACTATTTCAGCTCTTTCGCTTTGACTCTCTTCACTTTGGCCTTCTTCACTTTGAGTTTCTTCGATTTTATCTTCTTCAATTCGAGCTTCGTCTATTTGACCTTCGTCTATTTGAGCCTCCTCCAGAATAGGTATCTCTGAAATGGCTGGTCGAATTTCTTCAGTAGTGCCCTTGTAACTATTTACAATCTCATCAGAATCTAGAACAGTGTTGCTATAAACTTTGATGTCAAAGTTGTCGGCGTTTTCAGAGCTATCATTCCCTTCAATATCATCTTCAGTCACGTCAAAAATCATGCCGTTTATATCTCCTTCAGCAGCTTCGGAAGAAGACTCTTGTTGAGGTGAATCTTTGGCAGCCAAGAAACTGGATTCATTACAGTAGAAAGTTATGACAGATCCTTGATGGACCATCATTGGAGTGTGTCTCTCCTCAATCTGACCTTTCAGTTTCGAAGTTGCAGAGATATGTTTTTCTGATGTTTTCGACCGATCGTTATGGAAAACAAATTTGTCGGGGTTTGTCTCGCTTTCGCTATCTTCTTCAATGGAGTCATCAACGACAACAAACGGTTCCTGGTCTGGCGCAGTAGCAACTTCTTTATCAAGTCCACTCATTCCGTCATTCGACTTCGGCAATTCTATCGTTCCAAACTCAGCAGTGTCGACCGATGCTGAATCCTCTCTTCTTCTTATAGAGTCTTCAATCTCTTGCTTCGTTACAGCAGAAACATCAACCCCAGGGTTGTAAAACGAAATTATATCTGGAAACTCTTCAGTGACGACCAGTACCGAGTTGCTCTTCCTTAGCTCGGGTTGTGATTGGGAATGGGATGGCGCTGTAGCTATAATATTGTGGGTAGGTAATCTAGGTATATCGGGTAGATCACTTCGATTACTAAATACTTTGATATCACTGTTGGTAGTGTCTTGGGTATCGATTGCGTCATCTTCACAATGAATGTCTGGCAAATCTATGTGTATTACATCGTCTGTTCTGGGCATTTCGTGGGGATCTTCGGTATCTGATGCTTCCACATTCGAAACTTCTAAAGCTTCCAAAAAGCTTTCTTCAGAACTGTAAAATGAGATGACAGATCCCTGATGAATCATCAACGGTGTTTTCCTCTTTCCAGAAGAATGTTTTGGTGTCGAAGTCGCAATAGTACTAACGGGTACTGTACTAGCGGATACTGAACGATCATTCTCGAATACGAATTGATCGGGATTGTTTACGGACGTATCCTCATCTTTGGGGGATTTGAGCTCCTCTTCATCAGCTTCAGCTTCATCTGAACATTGCTCGTCTTGAGCTATTACCGGTTCAGTATCGTATGCCTGAAGGAGACTTTCTTCGCTATTGTAAAAGGAGATGATGTCCGAAAAGTTGAGGGAAATATACGGTTTTCGAAAATCGGATTGCGATCTCGGGGGTGGGACTGACAAAGAATATCTCAGCTTCCGGGGAGTCTCGGTCTTTGTTTCAGTCTGAAGGAAACTGATGATATCTTTGTTGTTCGACTCATTCTCTTTGTTACTTCCATCAGAAGTATTACAGTCAGGGGTCGTCTCTCCTACTGTCTCTGTAGGCACATATCCATCAGACCCAGCCTCATTCTCCTCTTCCAATGTCTTCTGTCGGCCTATCTCAGTTAGGAAGAATGTGATGACATCTTTCTTGTTAGGGGAAACATAAGGGCTAGTCAAGTCTGCTGTCTCAATCTCAAGAGGTTTCTCAGCCGATTCCATATCTACAGACGATTCAATACAAGAGGGAGCGGCAGCAAAAGAAATGATGTCCTGGTTCGCACCTACATCCTCAGTCAGCGAATCCTCATCATAACAATCCTCGTTATTTGGCAGGTTCTCTTTGTCAAGGCTTCGATCGTTTACTAACGACTCGTACTTTTCAATTAAAGTAGGTGAGATGTAGCCGTCGCATGAGTTGCTAAAAAGGAAGCTGCCCCCTAGAACAACAGGCCGGCCCGGCGTGGATGCGTCCTGAAAAGAGCGGCTCATTTACAAGTTGTTGGCAATGTGTCGGATACATGGTGGGGCAGATGGGGTACCCGGTTAGTATTGGTGGGGCTAACGACTGTCATGTGTAATCGATCTAACACGAAGTTGGACACCAAGCTAAACGAAAAGTACACTAAAACCTAAACGCCCTTATGCAAGACCCCCTGGCAGGGTCACTCTGCAGGTTGCCATGGCAACCAGGATAGCGAATGATTTTACTACGCTCATTAACAGATTTGGTGGCGGTTAGGCAAGTAATTTGATACATGATAGTGGGGAGAAGAATAGCTCGAAACATGAGGTATTGAAGTGCTAACTGGATAAAAGAGGGGCGTGCGGTGGCATTTAGAAATTGCTCTGTATCATATTCCAAGTGGCAGTTAGAAAACTGCTCTGTATTTTGACTTAGTCCGAGTCGACAGAGCAATACTTCGATAGTTATGATATACCGTTGGTGATGGGAGTTAAGGGAAAATTAATTCTTACATGCATCCCAGTAGATAATCATACGTAAAAACAAGTCTAACTTTGCAATTAGTTGATTTTCCAGACATAAACTTGAAGTAAAATTACTGAACATTAATGAGCTGCGCCGGTTGCGCAATTTTGCAAAACTTAACGTAAATATTAATAAACAACAACTACATGAAACTACATGCCAATAAAATACAGTTGGACACTGTCAATAACCATTACGGGAAGAAACAACAGAAACACATACAATATCACCTCTCTGGCAGTGAATGGTTCCCTCATAAAGATATTGAACAGAATCACAGTACTACATTCATAACGTCCTGTTCTTATCAAACAACCCTTATTACTCCATTATATATATACGGGTGCACTGTGCATCTTTACTCTTTACAATTACATGTAGGTTTACATACACCTCGTTACTTATGTAAGACGGTTTGAGCAAGGTAGATAAACACAGCGTACAGCTGTGCTTCCCCACACTTGTAATCAAAACAAATAACAAACCTCTGCCGATTTGTGTCTCTTGTCGTCAGCAGTTGGGTCTTTTGACTCGTCCGGAGAAATGGTGTTGAAAATGCAGATCAAATCCGGGTGGATCATGTAAATTCTCTTCGAGTAATCTAAAGCTGGGAGATAAGTGAGAAGTAATCTAAAGCTGGAGAGAAGTGCTAATGTTGTAGAACTATAGATCTACTAGACTAGTGTTGTAATATCAATTATTATGCAACAGGAGGATCAAAAGGGTATTCGTTAGGGGCAACTGGAGTACAATCTCATACATGCACAGTAAAGTCACAACATGCAAAAACATGATTCGTTAGATTAGCGATGGACAGAAAAACAAACAAACATAAGATAGATCTGCCTTACATAACTTTAAAAAATGTTCCACCAACATGGTACTCACGAATAAAGGTTTCTACTTCACTCTCGTTTAGATCTTGGTTTTCATCATTAAAAGCTTCCTGTCTTAATAGAGGATATCGTTTTATATCCTGCATTCTGCACCCCTAGGAAGGTACGACAAAATATCGAACAAAGCTCGCGTACAGACAAAACGACAGTAATTAATAAGGCACCGGCCAGGCGAGAGTTAGGAATAAATGGGAATTAGCACGATGGAAGATATTTAACTGCTTCAGAGGTTAAATATCGGAAGGGGAGTGGAGTAAGTTTTGGTAAGGATGTTTGGCCGACAGAAGAAATTTTCATATGTTATTCTAGGGGAATGTCACATAAAACGTGCAACAATCTCTTGCAAGGTTGATCGAACAACAGCACCAGGATATGATTCAACGACAAATATATTCCAGATATGTCAATATTACAGATATTTCAACATTGAAATCCCAAAGCGTCCCGGCCAACCGCAACAAGGCCACAATTTAGCAACCTGACATATACTCATACACCAGTAAGTAAAATAATGGCTGCTATTAACTGTGGTGGAGGTAAACATTTGAGTTTAGCTGAGAGCCAAGCTCCTCCAGCCTGTACACAGTCTATTAACCACTGGAGAGATAGAAAAGAGAACGCTAATTCGCTAAAGACTTCCGTTCATCTCCAATGACAAAACGCTATGCGTCTCAGCAGAAGTCCAGGATCGTCTAATCAGAGCACAGAGGAATGACACGTGATTTAGCAAGAACCAACCAGGAAGAAGGGTACAGGTCACGTGGTTATGAAATCCAATGACCGCAGGGTAGGTAAGCTACGTGGATCTATCTGAGAGGAATCCAGTGAGTCAGTCGGCCAGTTAAGTTGCAGTTGGAGAAATTACCTAATTATAAGGGTTTAAAGGCACGGTTCTAAGTTAAAAGTCAGGTGGTAATGTGGGAATTACAGACGAATCGTCTACCAAAAGTACATGTATGTTGTAGACGAAAGCGATGAATAGGTAGCGTTAACAAGTATCACAACCCAGTAAATGAGTAAAGTGAATGTATTGCCTTCTGTTTGCAGGAAAGCAAATACAAAGTTGCACGGCGTAAAGGTCGCGTGATGACGTACAAGTCGTTTATCTACTCAATTACAGTTACTCGCTGAAATTATATTTATATATAAATATAATTTAACAGAGTAACTTTAATTAATTGTGTCCATGAATGGAAACACTGCATTCTGCAAGTGCAACCAGCAGATCTATGCACGACGGGGTAAAACCTAAAAGACACAATTTTATGAAATTAATAGACCATACATATCATAAAGTGGACCATTCTACTTTCATCAGTATTGCTACTATTTGCGAGGAACACCACGTTTTAGTTATGTTAAGCAGCATTATAAGGACCGTTAACAGAAGAAGTTTTCTTGGTTGTTGGAGAAATACTACCCTCCTACTCCTCCTCCTCCTCCACCTACTACTCAACCTGCTGACGACAGAGTCACTACTCTCAACACCGACAGTGTCTCCGAGCAGCAGAAGTCAGTTTTAGCTCTCGGACCTAACTTCGCCGTGTCTCCGCGAATTGACCAGTCATTAAGGATAAAGTTGCCGTTGATATCGCTCAGTGTGTGTTAGATCAGACACAAACACGCTATCACTCAGCGTGCCAACTCAGACACTAGTGCGAAGTTAGTGCCCCGATTGAGCCCACCGAGGAGTCGAGTTCCAGCAAAGTGAGGAGATTGTGTCCCTTTCCCTCACCATTCACCGGTACACCTGACCCCACCCACCCGGTTTTAGAGGACAAGCTAGCACAGTTTAACCGCTTTGTACTGACGTGACTAACACCAACCCACCGGATCGAGCCAAACGGTAAATTAACCAGCAGATTGTACCGCAAGCAGAAACAAAAGGATATTACCCAGGATTTACCCTGCACAACGACTCTTGCCATCCTTAGTCTGTTAAGATTAATACAGTGAAGAACCTATATAGCGAGGCTTGCCGCATCTCGTCTGGCCCAGCGGAAAAGGAGCACTCTCTCAGACTCCTTGATGATCTATTACAGAAAAACGGTTACCAGAACCCAAGACGTTATTGTAGCAGTAGTAATTCTAACAGGCGTCAGAGTGTTGAGGATGATTCCAGGACAGTTCTTAATTTATATTTTATTTCGGACAGTGCTAGCAATAAGATTAGAAATTATGTAAAGCAGAATAATTTACCTATCAAAGTAAACTTTCAACCTACTTCGAAGTTGAGAAATATTTTATGTAGTAACAGACCGTACGATAAACGTGTGTGCAGTATTAATTCATGTAAAATTTGTCCTTTGATAGTTTGTAATAAAGATTGTGAAGTGAAGAATGTTGTATATAAGATTAAGTGTAAATTATGTGACCAGCTGTACGTTGGAGAAACCAGTAGGAAAGTACATGCTTGTGTAGGTAAGCACTTACGCTACGCTACCTACCCTGCTACCCCTTCTAATGTTAGTCAAGCTTTTGCCATACATTATTCGAGCTGTCATGAGGGGTTAAATCCCAGTTTAGAAGTAGATGTTTTATGAATTGAGCCCAATACTGTCAGAAGAAAGATTTTCGAAGCGATGTTCATAATTAATCCGAACCCTACAATTAACAAGAGAGAAGAACTGGATACTATTAAGCGTTTTATCATAGCTAGTACTGAATAATTTTAGATATTATAGTTTCATTCCCCCTTTTTATTGCATACAGTTTCAGTTTTCTAGTAGTAGTAAGTTTTAGTGTTTTTTCACATCGCGCTCATTATCAGTAACCACTCACTATAATTTCACTCCCATTGTGTATACACCATCTCGCATGTATTGTATCTTTTACCTTATCATCTGTTAATATAATTCTATTCTAATTTTAGTCTAGTATTTGAACAATTTGTTGTCGTTTAGCCATTTTTGATTAATAAATTTTATGAGACAGTTTTCTCACATATTTACCAATTTTGTCAGCATGAATACGAAGTTGTTACTTTGAAACGTCGTTTATCCTAACAGTGCAGTATCATTTGTCGCAAGAAATCAGAATAATCAGAAATTATTTGGAACTCCCAAAAACTGTCTATACAGTATACATATCTGTATCTCACGTGAAAACCGAACAATATTGAGCAGTAACAAATGAGAATCTTTACTGTTAACCGATTCATTACGGGAAAAAGGTTTCGTTGTCAGATATATTCAGAGGTAATGAACATTTGGCGGTAAGTGCAGTTAAAAGCAGCGAATGAACAGTAAATGAACAGTAAATGAACAGTAAATGAACACGCTAAAAGGCGCCAATAACATAACATGATAAGTTGTTAGTAGTCTCCTATACTATATACTAGTGTGTGACAGGGTCATTATATCGGGCTAGAAATAAGGTTTGGAATATGCTGGAATAAGGTTTGATATATGCTGTCAAAATGCTGATGGAAATGTGTTCGACAAAACACCGTCAATCTTTAGCTTCAGCTCGTGCACAGGCTAATTTGTGTCGTTTACCGACAATGTATTGTATATAGGTTTGTGTTAACATGTTTACTGATTTTACATTTCGACCTCGGCTCCACAAACATTCACTTTTTTACTATACGATTTATTAGAGCTTAATCAACTTAAATTTGATAAAAGGTGAACTTTACGACGATTATATGAAGTTGGATCAAATGTATCTCTAACTATGCAGTGTGTATCATTATCTCTAACTGTCGATAACTGGTTGCCTTTTACCAGGAGGACTCAACTTAAATGAGCACTAAAAACACATATTATCGGTTACTGAACCTGAAAACCGAACCAAACGTTTTGGGAGTCATTAGATAGCATTTACACTTGTGAGTTGTGAACTTCATTGGACATGATAGACTACTGCTGTGGACGATCATTATCTTACTCTATGTTACTTTTCAATCAGTGATCATCATTTGATTGTTAGGACAGAGTTTACTAAATATTTGGATGGTAGAAGCGATTTTTAAGTTGGATTATGGAATAATAGTCGATGATGAAGCCCAGGCTGCATGGCAGAAGATTACAGGATTAATGTTTTCCTACCATTTCCGTAACGTTAAGGTTCAGCAAAAATGGTTCGGTAAAATATTTTAGAACCAGCTTAAACGTAACAACTGCTCAAACCAAAACGTAACGCAAATTTGGGTCGTTTCCTAGTAAAGACTCGACTGAGGAAGATGTTAAACACTATAAACAGGTTAATATGTTGGGACATGACAACCGTCTGGGAAGTTGATAGCCTAGGGGAACTGATTTTGGATCACGTTTTGTTGAATTAGAACGATGTTTAACGCCTTGAGTTATGGAAATAGAAATAAAATATGGATTTCGTATTCCGATTCGCGCCGGCTAATAGAGTTGAAATATTGTCTGCTATATTGGCAGTTTCTAATAAACGGTTTTAAGGCATTTGCTTGCTTCTGCAAAGTTCTACCGAAAGTTCTACCGAAGATTAAATCTACCAGCCGACCAAAAATATTGCTTTATTGGCATCTCAGTAGACGACTGTTGCTGTTAGCATTAGAAAAATTACCTGCTGCTTCGACAATTTAGTAGGATAACGGGAACACTACAAAAGTTAAATTAGTTTTATCGTTTGCTCGCCTGAGACTGATTCGAGCATTCTGCCCTCTCAGTCTCCACTAACCAACCTCCATTTCAGCCTATATTTCAAAAAAAAAAGCTTAAGAACATAGACATTTTTATGGGGCTCAAATGTTTCCCGTAGCATTAGTTTTTAAGGTAAATAAATACCAATCATAACTTGTCACCCGACTGGCCGACTGAGGAATTAACACGAGGTGACAAATCGCCTGAGAAGCAGTGAGAATAATCTCTAAAAAGGTAAAAGATGCCAAATATTAAAGATTACCTGTCTTCAGAGGATGCCAGTCCACCACGATATCTTTCTCAGAGCAAACTTTATACAATAAACCAAACCAAGCTAACAAGCGCACAAAGTACAATCTTCCAAAATTCAAATGAAGTCTGCAGAGAAGTGACCAATACCAGTGGCCAATGTTCAGGAAATTCAACTAGCTGATGTGTAATTGTGTCTACTAAACTGAGCGCTGTGGAGCGTTCAAAGGGTGACTGAACTTCACTATTGGAGGTTGAGGGTTCTTAGGGGATGGTTGCTGTGAGTCGCCATTGCAGATGAAGCAAACAGTGCAGGCAGTGGTCAGGGCTAGGTTGGGTGCGGGCAGACGGGGACTTACAAACTAATTAGTTTAATTCCACCACTACAAATTGTGAGATTCTAGACCAGAACTTCAAGATATATCTGCTATTGCAGGGTTCTAGTTAGTAAACAATTTAACAAGAAAATGGGTGGTACAAAAGTACCAGCTGGAATCTGGATAGCCGGAGATCTAGGGTACTTACACTCCAACAGGCTCATATTCATCCTGCATATTTGGGTATTCCTCTTTCTGAAGTGAGGTCGCCACAAGAGAATGTAACGTGTCCCAACTATTACTACATTTGTTGAGAAACTCTAGCCTGCTGTCAGATGCTTCTGAAAGAGGTGGAATAAAGATGGCTGGTTGATAAGATTAGTTGATGCTGCGTTTATTTATATATAAAATCTAACCTACAAATAATTAATAATCCAATGCATCACCATAATTAGAGTTACTGAAAAATATCATAAGATGTTCAAAGCATTATTGCTAGGAGTAAAATATCTAGTTTTAACGTGATTGGAATAAATTCTCATAAAACCTGATTTCATATTTTGAATATTAAAACAGCATTACAGCACTTATCTAAACTAAACTGTCCAATTATAGAACAGCGTAACAGCTTAATTGAAGTAATTGGTGATGCTCTAACAAACCGTTCGTCTAAACAGGCATTAGTTATAATTATTTTGGCTATCGTTTAATAAAATTGAGACACTTCAAAGCCTAGAAACCTTTTCATTGTCTAGGATAATATTATATTATTATTATAATAATATTTATATACTTGCACAGCTGCACCAATAGCATTGTATGTTCTGCATTATTCAATAGACAATAATATGCTGGATTAATTAACAGTCGCACTAAGTACAATTAACGTTATCATAGTAGTATATTTATTCTTTATAGAGATACAGGTTCTTTTGCGATAGTCAAAACGCGACAACTAGCGCTGGATGGCGACAACTAGCGCTATCCAGCGCTAGTTGTCGCCATCCAGCGCTAGTTGTCGCTATCCAGCGCTGGATAACGCTGGCCAGCGCAAAATATATATGTTCGATAATTGTCGCTATTCAGCGCTAGTTGTCGCCATCCAGCGCTAGTTGTCGCCATCCAGCGCTAGTTGTCGCTATCCAGCGCTAGTTGTCGCTGGCTATGCGACACTGTCGCACGCGATAGTTTGCGATGGCCAGCGCAACTGGCCATCGCAGAAAACAGTTCGATAACTAGCGCTGGATAGCGACAACTAGCGCTGGATAGCGACAACTAGCGCTGGCCAGCGCTAAGCGATAGCCAGCGCTGGCCAGCGCTGGCCATCGATATCCAGCGTAAAATTTTTGCGCTATTAATCGTCAGCTAGCGCTGGCCAGCGCTAGCCAGCGCTAACCAGCGCTAGCCAGCGCTAGCCAGCGTTAGCCAGCGCTAGCCAGCGCTGGCCAGCGCTAGCCAGCGCAATGTATCAAAATCATATACTTGCGATATTACTCGGATGATGATTAATCACTTTACAGTTTACACTCGACTGTCACGTGACTTTTTTAACCCATTCTCTGACTCTAGCTGGTTCTGAACGACTTTTTGAAACCCTAACCCTCTAATCTGATCCCAACCCTAACCCTAACCCAATCCTTAACAAAAACATTTGCTGAAACCCTAACCCTAACGAGAAATTAGACTAACTTCCTTATACGGTCATATCACGTGATCGATACAGTTTTTCGCCAATATCTCGTCAGGATCAGAGCATTTTAACCCTATATCATGGGGGTTGATTCGGAATTAGCGTTCGAAAATACATTGCATCGATTGAAGTTGGTTACAACCATCGGGGGCCCTTTTAGAACAATCTCAAAGATCGACTGTAGAGTGATTTAGCACGCTCGATATTAGTACTACTCGTCAGCCAGCACTGGCCAGCGCAATATAGTTGCGATATTACTCTTACTTACTGGTTAGCGCTGGTTAGCGCTGGTTAGCGCTGGTTAGCGCTGGTTAGCGCTGGCTAGCGCTGGCCAGCGCTAGCTGACGAGTAATAGCGCAAAAATTTTGCGCTGGATATCGATGGCCAGCGCTGGCCAGCGCTGGCTATCGCTTAGCGCTGGACAGCGCTAGTTGTCGCTATCCAGCGCTATTTGTCGCGACAATTATCGAACATTTATCGAAAATTTATCAAAAATTGATATTTTGCGCTGGTTAGCGCTGGATAGCGCTGGCCAGCGCTGGCTAGCGCTGGCCAGCGCTGGCTAGCGCTGGATAGCGCTGGATAGCGACAACTAGCGCTGGATAGCGCTGGATAGCGACAACTAGCGCTGGATAGCGCTGGATAGCGACAACTTGCGCTGGATAGCGACAACTAGCGCTGGCCAGCGCTAGTTGTCGCCATCCAGCGCTAGTTGTCGCTATCCAGCGCTATCCAGCGCTAGTTATCGAACTGTTTTCTGCGATGGCCAGTTGCGCTGGCCATCGCAAACTATCGCGTGCGACAGAGTCGCATAGCCAGCGACAACTAGCGCTGGATAGCGACAACTAGCGCTGGATGGCGACAACTAGCGCTGGATGGCGACAACTAGCGCTGGATAGCGACAATTATCGAACAAATATATTTTGCGCTGGCCAGCGTTATCCAGCGCTGGATAGCGACAACTAGCGCTGGATGGCGACAACTAGCGCTGGATAGCGCTAGTTGTCGCCATCCAGCGCTAGTTGTCGCGTTTTGACTATCGCAAAAGAACCGAGATACACTATAACTAAATAGTACAGTGATGTGGTTCCTTAGTCCTTATGGTTCGATTCATGTGTTATAGACATTAGATTAATCTGAGATCTGAGTCTATTACGAGATTAAGGCTCAGATGATAATACACATATTGCCCCAAACCAGCTATTATAATTTAAATAGTAGTGGTGTTTTGCGGATCTGAATTACAAGGACTAACGCTTATAGTGTACCCTTACTTCGTCATTAGTGGCTGTGTCATCTCTTGCCATCATACAAATGATATTCCTTTAACTGACGTAGGTATATTGTAGATAAGTAGATCAAAGCAGATGAAGAGATACGTGGATAGATATATAATTTGTTTATGCATCGGGAGATCCATTCCAATTTCCGATTTTATGTAAAATGTCGACCCATGTTGTTTCCTAACTTTTAAAGTTTTAAACATTTTAAAAACGTTGCCACACAACCATAACAATTAATTTAATCACATGAAATATTGATATGGCTTAAGTTCCAGATTACTCGATAAAATAGTTAGTCCAAAAGCCACACAAGCTTAACAATTTTAAAGTTAATTCGATCACACGAAACATTGATAGGAGCTAAGGTTCTATAAAATTAGATAGGAAAGTTATGATAGTTGTATATGGCAAGTTTATAGTGGGCTCCTATATTTCGTGCTTTCTATATTTCCTAGTTTTCACTGTAATTTCTTCATCTCAAGAAGAATTTGGTGAACATTCCAAATTTGTATTTCAGTACGCAATTGTTATATCATTTAAACATTAGTCTTGACATAGGAGTCAGGACCAGGACTGACCCTGGCTCCTATGTCATGATGTCCGGACTAATGTTTAAGGACTGAACCTGGTAATCGCCGTATTATCATTTTACATGCTTAAGTAGTCATTCATGTCTCCAATCGGTCGTAGCCATCTCGTCTCATCAACTGTAATAGAGTACTAGAGACAGCGGTATCAGCCTGGCTAGGTTAATTACAGCTGCCCAACAGCTGGTCATTACAGTGCTCATGATCCTCGAGTAGACTCGTCAGTCGCTGATTAGAGACTTTGAAAGTTGTTCATGTTTTCGTCATGCAACTTTTATTAACTCAAGTATAATTTCATCGAGCATGTTTTTCCTTTAGCATGAATTTTAATTGGTAAACAAGTTTTTTAATAATTTTATAAAATTATTATAAACTGGTAAGATAATATTTCATTGAAAAAATTACATTGGGGATTATAAGTATTAAGTAACAACATGAGCGGCCTGTCACAGCACCTGCGGAAACCAAAAATAAAAGGAATCAAGATCTCTTGTTATATTCCTTTGCAATTTAATTAACAAGTCTGAATCGTCTGCAGTTGATTCATGGACTTTCTAAATGGGGACTTAAACCGTGTTTATAACGTTTTCATCGTGCAAATTAGATGAGAAATAGGAAGTTTGATCATTGTAATCTTTTTTGTTTCTTTTCTCAACGTTGTGTTCATTTTGTTTTACATTTAAATCGGCTGTATCTTCGGTTGGGATGGATATACTGACTTTCAGAGAATACTATTAGCTGATTAGCTTCCTAGTTCTTTCATAAAAAACCTTCGTACATTTTAAGACATAACATCTTGACTTAGTATTTCATAGTTAGTTTCAACTACATTCGGGCTTTATCTCGCGCAGCACTGAACAAGGTATTATGGTATTGTAGCTGCAACCCTGTTATCATAATTCTCCTTGTGATGCGTACCTACTTGTACTTTGTTCCGGATCAATTTGTATTTTAGACTTCTTGAGCGGTTCAATAATTTATGCAAAATTGTCCTGGAAAGCTTTTACTTGCATCTGCTTATAGTTATATTGGGTTGATTATTGGCAACCCTGTCTAATCAGTATTCGCTACTCAGTGATGGTAAGATTGATGTCAGGAATCCGCATTAGTAAGGAGATGGGAAATGAACGACAGTTAGACCCCGGTTAGACAATAATTATGTTCATTTAAAAAATTATGCATACAGTATTACAGTACCCACGTTTTGACTCATCCGCATCATATTGGGAGTCCAGAATTCATCGTACAGAAATTAAGATCAAAGCTAGAGAATCAAACGCTTCAAATG